TATAATACTCTATCTACTACTTTTTCTACCACCAGGGCGGCGCCACTTTGGATGAAGTAAAATATCAGATTTCATGGATGGGAAGTTAAATTGTTAGGAAAATATAAAGAATAAGTTCTTCCTGATATAATTATTCAGATTAAAATGGATAAACTAAACTATGGCTATTTCTAATAATAAAATGATTAAAAAGAGACTAAAAGAGCAACCACTGAGGCATTGTTTTGTGTATTATAATTGTGTATATACTAGAAACCGAAAAACTGTTATTTAAAAGGCAACTTTTCTTTTATGACACCACATAACTGTGTTACACTAACTTCACCTCTGTCCCAACTAGCGACATCTGGTGAGCGGTTATATGACAAAGGTCGGTAAATTCGGTTATGCCGCCGCTATACGTTTTTCAAATTGTTCACCTTTTCATTCACACTGTTCTTAAATAAAGTTTATTTTTTATCATTACTTTTCTCGTAAATATTTTTTTGAGTCTAGCATACCCTAAATTTTGAGAATGACCTCTATATTAATATATAGGCACAACGTTCTTATACATTATGTAGGTATATATTTATTTATTTAACACTATGTACTAAAGGTAAAAACGGCGGAACTAATGCCAATTGGCATTTTCTACCAGGCAACCGGAAAATTAATGAGAAAGGTGTGTATATAGTACATTATTTACATTATATATTATTCATTTTGTAAGTATAAACTTCAGGATCACATAAGGCCGACAATAAAATTTGGGTCACAAATTTTAAATGCAATGTAAAGAGAGAAAAGATAGAGATCTATCGATCGCTATGCAATAAGTAAAAATTGACTTTTGATAAAAAGTAACACTTAAAGGTTTATATGTATTATGTATATATGTAGTGTATGCATGTATATGTATATGTATGTTTTATATATGTATATATTGTGTGTACTTAAGTACATATATCTATGTATGTGTATATATGTATATTTATATGTATATAATATGTATATACAATACTTTTTTTAGCGCTTTCTATTTTGATTACTGCTGCACCGCCTCTTGCTTGTATATTTCTGTTTAGCCTAATGGTTGACTGGGAGGGAATGCCCTATGCCATAGGGCATTCCCTCCCCGTCAACCAGTCAACAAAGTTGTACATATGGCGGACTTAATGCCATAGGCCTATGGCATTAAGTCCGCCATATGTACAACTTTGTGCATGAAAGATTAAATAAATAAATAAATAAATAAAATAAAGGTCGACTTCAAGAAAACAAATAGTGTGTGTTTCCGTTCAGTTAAGACATATTGTATAGAATAATTAGAGCCCCGACTTTAGAATGTGAAATTAATTTTTCTTTTTACCTTTATAGTTCTTTGAAGTCGACTTTTGCTTTTCACTAAAAGTTAATCTTTTTTACTCTTAAATACATTAAGAACTTTTCCCTATTTTGCCATTCTTAGTGGTGGAGTTTCTCCAAATTTATATGAGACCACCACCTCAGTATAGTGATAATAAATGACCTATTTAATAAAAAAAGAGGCATCGAAATCGGCTCACGATTGACGAAGACATCGCGTAACATACACACAAAAAACATACAATCGAATTTTAAACCTGCTCCATTTTTGGAAGTAGGCTAAATGAGATAGAGACTGCTATATTTTAATAACTTAAATTAAAAATTTTAAAAGCCCGCGAAACAAAAAGAGATAATGATCTTGAAATGGCTGAACACATTTTCTTGAAACATACGTAAGTACACTCTCAATTAAGACTTACAAACGAAAAAAACTTAATTAAAATTGGTTCATCAGGCAGATACCCAGATCAGATACACACTACATAACAAAAAAATTATAAGAGAGTTAGTGTCGGCTTAAAGGTAACGTAATAATAAATTACAAAGGTCTGACTTTTTATTAAAATGCCGTATTATTGTTATTAATAATAAATAAATATTGATCAAGCATGAATGGGAAATTTTAGTGTGTCGTAAACGCAGTTTTGAACAAGATAGCGTATCTTATCGCAGGACTTATTTTGTACTACAAGATTTGATATTTCATGTTTTGGATGTAAATGCTGCTGGTATTGTTTTTATAATGAGTTTTGGCGTTTGTCCGTTAAACCTTGTTCATATGTGAGTATTTAAAATCGAATAATTTAATATTTGTTTCCATCGAGTAGACAAGTTTTATAATTAGAAGATTTCTGCCTTGACGTTAAAATACATGTAATATAATCATAAAAACATAAATAATATAATTTACAAATTACAAATACATTTGTATGTGTAATTTGTAAATCATGTCTCGTTACTACGACTCAGGTCAACTAATCGTCTAATTTGTTGTTATGTAGAGGTAAATAAATAAAAAAATCTGCGCTGCAGACACGGAAGCCGCACCAAACAATCTCGACTAATTTTTAATGTCTAAAAACTTGTTTTATAAGATTGTTTACGTAACTTTAGAAAAAGAAATATGAATCTCAAAATTCGCTCGGGTGACAATATTACGTAGTGAACGGTACTATGTAACGTAGACTTTTCATCAAGGACCTAATGGTGACTTGTAGATAAAAATTTTGCAATTTATTTTTGTTAATTTTACCACATTTATTTATTTTTGGTAGGGCTTACTTTAACCACAGATTAAACAATGTTACCTTTAATGCAAACAGACAAAAGTCAATAATTGTGAGACTTAAAATGTTTGTTTATACCATTTATTTAGGTGATTGATTAAAGATACGTTAATAATTCAAATAATCTACATTTTGTTTCGTGCTTTTACATTATCCCATATCATCCCGTGAGTGTTGTAAGAGGTGAAAGAGGGAAACTGTAACACGAGATGGCCAGCAGCATCTTCCTGATAGCAAATTAAAATAATAAAAAAACTGCGGTTGCCAACGTTCCTGCCAAGCGTGGTAACTAACGCAAAATTCACCATATGATGCAAACTATGGGAGAGTCCTATCCGCAGTAGTGGACTTTTATAGGCTGAAATGAACGGAAATGAAATGTGAATTGTATTGAATAAAATATATGAATAAAATAGTTTTATTGATTTTAAAACATTTCTAGATATACGAAATAAATTAAATAAGAAGTTACTTCAATAAAAAGTGTATTATTGCATGAGTTAAACTAAACTATTATAGATTATATTCATTGTGATTTAATAGATAAAGATATACCTGCGTATAATTACTTTAAGAATTCAGTTGTCAAATAAAATGTTTCAACTGCAGTATTAACTTTGCTTTAAAAATGCCAAACAGCTTCAATAATTATCAAAACTTCTTTGAAATCAATAAATTTACGATAAATAACATGTTTATAGCTAGACTCTTAAACGCAGTCTTAAACTGATAGACTTAAGTTTTTCTATTGAATGAAATATGATTATACGATAATTATATACATAATAGAACGTTACAGAAAGGAAGCTACAAGTCAAGGTAATAAATCTTGCTTAAGACTAAATTATATGTAATTATAATTTAGTCTTAAGTATATAATTTTCCTACCTCAGAAAATCTTATATTTATTGAAGCGCTATTATTACCTCTTATTTTTTTTTGGTGACAGCTATTGAAAAATATAAATACCGTAATCCGAAACATTTTTGATTACTATACGTAATTCAATATATTTTGCATATATGAGCTTAAAATTCACCGTTATCGATTCATATTTATATATATATTATAATAATATAATATAAATAATGGGATCTAAAAATATTGAGATTATTTAATATTACAGGATTTCACAACTGGAATACAGTCACTGGGTCTAATTTATTATTGTCACATAATAGGAACTAATATTCAATTTTCTTTCAAATTATAAATATATATGAAGGCGGGTTATCTTATCATGTGTTATATTACATACATCACCTATGGAAGATTTTTTTATGTCGTTAAAAACTACGACTAGGTTGGTGAAACCAGTTTGAATCAAACAGGTTGGCGACAATAACGTGGAAACTAATTTTGTACCAAATTGCGTATAAAATAAAGATTAATGTATTGTAAATTATTTATTTTTTATGTGTAAAAATTTCGAGTAAAGATCAATGTAATTAAATTTTAGATAGAACTGACATCATTTTTTCTTTTCTTTTTAGGAGTTTATGAGTAACTGTATATTAAAATTAGTAAAGAAGTTTTTAAAATTTGTTCACAATTAATAGTAACCGAAACCTATTATTAAACGCAACTATTTAGTAACTTTAACTAGTGGTTTTAACCAATATATTTTGATTCCTAGATAATTTGATAACTAGATCGTGCTAGTTGATTTTATTTGATAAATAAAATTAAGATATTATATTTTTATATTTACTAATAATGGATAACCTTTATTCTAGGTTTTAGTGTAGATTATTATATACGAATTAACTTTACGATTCATGAAAGTCCAAAATACACTTACTTTTTAAAAACTGTAAGTAGCAGTTGCGAATAATTATTTTCGGTTTAGAATTGTTTTAAAAATATTGCGCAATCCAATATACAGAAACAATATTAACAGAAATTATGAGTGAAGTCTGCAGTCGAAACACGATAAACTATTTTTGAAAATGAATTATATTTCAAATAAAATTGAATACACTAGACACTTAATTTATATCTCACGGTTTAAGAAATTTAGTCAAATTATTGTGTGTTTATAAAAAAATGTAACATGTGAACGTGCACGTGTATAAGAAATTCCAATGCAAGGAAAATATTGTTTGAAATCAAACGCTAAGCTCACGAGCAGGCAAGCTTGACGGTGTGTACTCACGAAGGGCATAGCGTTGCTCGGCTTCCGCTGTAAACTACCGTGAAATTTAACGTACAGGAAACAACAGCGACGTCTCGGCGCTGAAGCCGCAACACTCGCACACCGTCAAGTAGCACTCGTCAGGCGTCTCCTCGAAGGTCATGGCGCGCGCGCATCGCACGGGGAACCTTCGCCCACTGACGGGCGGAGCGATATAGACCCACACTCACCGGTCCGCTGCCGTTCCCAGCTTTGTTCTCCGGCTCGATGAGGTCTCCGTAGGCCGGCATTGTGTCCGCGGACCCCTCCTCTTCTGTTTCGTTGTAGTCGCGCGAATGCGGTGGCGAGGGCGAGTGCGCGCCGGCCCCGAGCCGCACGCGCGCTAGTGCCACCGCCTCTTCCAGTGACCCCACTTCGCCCCCGCTCCCCACCGCGCCCTCATCGTCATCGTCGTCGTCGTCGTCTTCGTCGTGATCATCAGAAAGACAAGCTGAAGTCTCTATACGACGCTTGAAAGCGTTCCCGGGACTCGGCTCTTCTACTGGCTTAGGTATTTCGGGTGGCTTTATCTTACGCTTCCAGGCGTCTTTAGTGAACGGACGCGTCGCAACTGCGTGTTCCACCGCAATGGGACTGACCGGCTCTGGTGATGATGTAAGAGGATTTGAAACTGATACTGTGTGTTTCTTATCATTCGGAGAGTTATTTTTATTTTCCCCGTTAGAATCTGATTTTAGTTCTTCTAACTGAGGCGGCGGGGGCGGTGTAACCTCTAGCTGCGATGGCGGGGGAGAGGTATTATCCGATTGAGGTGGCGGGGGTGTAGTGTCCTCTAATTGGGGTGGTGGGTGTTTACATTTCTCTGTTTGTGACGTTGAGGGTGAAGAATCCTCTAGTTTTGGTGGCGTGGGCGTAGATTCTTCGGCCCGTTTCTTACCGATAGTTCCCATCCGACGAATGAAACTGGCACTTTCCTTTTTCTTTTTGTCGACGCTCGGCGAACTGTCGGTGCTGCGTGAGGCGTCACTAGACGCGTCGGCGCGTTGTTTTTTTATTTTTTTACGCATCGTGCGTTCGTCGCGCGCGTTATCTCCGTCTGAGGCGGAGGTTTTAGTGGAGCCCGAGCGTTTGATCGAGCCAATGTGGAAGGGCGAGCCGGAGCGGAACGGTGAGCGTAACGAGTGCAGCGTGCGGCGGAGGCGGGAGGGCGCGAGAGAGGGCGCGGTAGCGGGAGCGGGAGAGGGCGGGGACAGCGGAGGCTCCATGTCCCGCATGGCAGCGACCAAAGACTAAAGTAATATGGGAAAGCGGCGACTGCGGCCGGGCAAATGCGTCGCACAGACTGCCGGAGCCTCCGCTAGCGGCCCGTTCCTACACGTGACGGCCTTGCTCCTGATCGCCCGTGCATGAACCTTGGATACAATTTCGACAAGACGTGACACGTAGCATAACATGAAGCCTGTGCAATCGTTACGTTAATCCTCCGCGAATCGGATAATTTTGACACGTTACACTCCTGGAAGTCATAGTGATACGTGTCACCAAATTTTGTGTAAGTTATCGTACTCTTTACGTTATTGAACAAACAAAATTCCTAAGCAAAGGTAACAGTAACGCCTTTAATAAGCGCATTTATTATATTAACATACATTTTCCTAACCCCATTCGCGCCTAAATTTGTCAGCCTTCAAAACCCTATCACAATGATAATACAAATGTTATAGCATCGAATATTTTTTTTAAGTAATGTGCAATATTTTACGAACACAGAACTTATTTTAAACGGTATGAACGATTATGAATTCGATTAGTAGTCGACCATGTTGGTAGAGCAGGGGATAACATCAAGAAAATGTTCAAGAAAAAGAAAGTTCTGTGAAGTAAGCCCTCCACTGAATTTCTCGAAAAATTTTCGCGTTTTCATTATGCTGTCAAACAAGCGGGTAATCTTGGCAATTTGCTTTGTTTATCTTTTCTAATATATATGTCGAAAAGTAATATATTATATTATATATAAAATTAAAATGATATATCTATAGATATTTAACAATCAATTGCTATGATTTTAATTAAATTTTTGTGTGTGTTTGAGTCACTGGATGGTTTAGATTCACAATTAGACCGGGTAGGTGGCGCTGTTGTCGAGATCCGAAACACACATCCGAAGCCGGGGCGGATTGTATATTCTTTCAATATTGGTACATAACTATTTTAGTAATTTAGCTTAGTTTTCGAAATATCAAGTTTCAACTAGCCTACAATGTTGCAACTTTAAGTTTTAAAATAAACAAATAAAGCATGGAAATCTCAGTGCACAATTTCTTTTATAAAAACGAACAATGACGAATATTTAACCTTAATTAACATTATTATTTAATATTAATTTACAGAAATATATATATATGAGCGCATTAAGTTTATATGTTTGATAAGTATTGTGTTTTTTTATAGAATAAGGGTGACAAACAAGCACACAGTCCACCTGATGGTAAGTGGTTGCTGTGGCCCATAGACATCTACATTTATCCTCAGTAAAGAATCAAAATGCAAATGCGTCGGCACCCGTGACGACTAAGATGGAATGCCTCTTTTCCAGTAAAATGGGTCTCCGGTTCTCTACACTCAGCATACGAAACACAGCAGTGTCAAGCTGCCATTTTACGCTGGTATTCTGTGAGAGCAAGGTCCTACCCCGGTCAAGCCGACCCATTCGTGCTATAATTATACTACTAATATAGCTGTAGCATGGCTCTACCACGTATATTTGTGTATTTTTTTTATTTCCATTTATTATTTTCTAATATAAAACTACAACCTCTGCATAACTCACGCGAAATGTATACAAACTACAGTTTATTTAGATTGTCGATAGTATAACGTTATGTCCTCTTCATATATTAAAATTCTTAACACAATTTTAATTTAAACCTCGTTTGTCGTTGTCGTTGTACTTACTAGGTGGTAGGACTCTTTTTCTTCAAAGGGAGCCGCACTAGTAACTATTTCTACCGCCACGCGCAGCACGTGCCCAGACTGGTTGGAATGGTTTTTTCTTATAGGATAAGGGTGACAAACGAGCACACAGTCCACCTGATGGTAAGTGGTTGCTGTGGCCCTCGTTTGCAAATCAAAATGCAGATGCGTTGTTACGCGTGAGGACTAAGTTTGAATGGCTCTTTTCCAGTAAAAAGGGTCTCCGGTTCTCTACACTCACCATACGAAACACAGCAGCGTTAAAGTGAGAGCGTGGTCCTTCCCCGGTCGTGTCGACCCATTCGTGCTACAACTATAGGTACTACTATATAGCTGCAGCATGGCTCTACCACGTATAAAATATAGTATAGGGTATAGAGAACTTGTGTAATTACTAGCTGAAAGGCATTCAATCTTAGTCTTCAGTGATGACGACGCGTCTGTAGATTCCTTTTTCTACCGACTTCAAAAAGGAGACCGGTTCTCAATTCGACTGTATGTTTTTTTTATGTGTGCTACCTCATAACTTTTTTATGGGTGAACCGATTTCGATGATTCTTTTATTCTTTGAAAGCTGGTGCATCACATATGGTGCCATATAAATTTGATATAGTTCTGATCAATAGTTTTTGAGTTAATCTTAATAATTTATATTGAAGTCAGTTGTACAAAATTTTTAATTTTAAATTATTTCAAAGTTGGTTGCAGGTGTACATGCTGCAGTATCCACTTACCATCAGGTGGACTGATAGTTAGACTGTCACTTTCATTTAATTAAAAAAACACTAAAATTTAGATTAGACCTCGTCATGTTTCAACACCAAGTTTTAAGTTTCGGCATAGTTTTATTAAATGTGATGTTAATATCACCTGTTTTTTTTTTATATGATAAGGGTGACAAACGAGCACACAGTCCACCTGATGGTAAGTGGTTGCTGTGGCCCATAGACATCTATATTTATACTCGATTACGAATCAAAATGCACATGCGTTGTCACCCGTGAGGACCAAGATGGAATGCCTCGTTTCCAGTAAAAAGTTACACTCACCATACGAAACACAGCAGCATTAAGCTGCTATTTTACGCTGGTATTCTGTGAGAGCGTGGTCCTTCCCCGGTCGAGCCGACCCATTCGTGCTACAACTATACTACTAATATAGCTGCAGCATGGCTCTACCACGTATAAAGTCTACCACGTAGGTATACATTATTATTGTTATTGTAAATAAACAGCAAAATATAAAACTATAATAAAATATACAATTTATATAATTTATAAAACGCACAAAAGTTTACTCGATCTATATATAAAAAGAAAAACTCAAATATTTTTGAATTTAAGTAATAATTTTTTTAAATTAAATTTTGATGTAATAGTCTGTGGGTTATTTTTATGATTTCTTTTTTATTTGATTCTAGGTTTCATAAAAGCGTCACAGATTAAACAACGATCTTGTTTATTGTTAAGTGAGCCAATGGTGTTGAGCTGTAAAACCATAATTAGTAAATACAGGCATTTATACGGACTCTTTGGAAACGGTAAAGAAACCGTACAAGTATGCCTCCTAGTTTTGATATCGACCGTCATTTAAAATGCTGGCCAGTAGAAAATCCCCTTATTGATTGCTATCTATTACTAAACCGATAAGATTTAATGCAGATAAAAAGGTTCTGCTGGCGTAAAACATTAACGAGGCTTACAAATGAGCGTCACAAATTAGTTTTAACTTCATTGGGTATCATTAATAATCTATGAAAGTTTTTGAATGTGTTATGAGCTGTGGTAGCTTGTTTATAAAAGTTATTTAGCAAACGACGCAATGTAATACAAAATTACTTTAATTTTTAACCCCGACGAAAACCTTGGCATCTGGGCATGGGTGTTATATGTTTATAGTTAGTGTCTGTGTATTTTGATTAAGTTTTTTCGTTCAAAAGGTGTCTTATTCCAGAATGTTCTTAGCTTATGTTTTAAGAAAATCACGCGTATACGAACACAACACCTACACTAGGGTCAATAGTTTGCATGTCATACCAAATACTTAACTCATGCGGAAATCGAAATCCTCGTGACCCGTTGTATCGCAGAAGCTGCTTCACCGAGCATATTTTTACTGCTTTTCTTAACAGTATAAAGAGGGAAACATAAGGTGAATCAACAAGAAAGACGCAAAAATGTACCCCTTATACGCAATAGGCGCATAAATTCAATGCCGTTTATAAATTACTACTACAGTTACATACACACAAACAGAAGAATTAAATATATAGTTATATATTTAAACCTTTCCCTTGAAACATTCTGTCTATTGATGGAAACTCCATCAAAATCTGTTACGTAGTTTTAAAGATCTAAGCGTACAGACGGTGGGAAGCGACATTAAAAGTTTATTTATTTCTTATTTTTAAAGACTGCACTGCCTTTTGTGGGTGGAATTTCATAAAATCCGTTCTTGGTAATTTTTAACGTGCCACAAAAATATTCTAACCTATAAGAGCTATAGTTTGAAAATGTGTTTTTTTTTAAATTAACGCCCCTTGCGCGTGGAATTTCGTAAAATCCGTTCTTAGCTGACCTCTACTTGGTGAAAGGAATTTTCCTACTAAATATATATATATAAGAGATCTCCACCTATGTATTGACTCATCACAATATCTCTGGAACCATAAGACCTAGAAAATTGAATTTTAGTTTTTTAGTTTTTAGGTATTTATTTGGTAGGAATATTCCTTTCACCAAGTAGAGGTCGGCTAAGCTATAATATATAGATTTATGAATAATATAATAATTCAACCTTTAAAATAGTAGTATATAAAGTTGATACATAAAAAATGAAATCTTTTACAGATTTTAATAGTATTAAACTTTTGTTGCTCTTCGAATTCTATACCCTGCCAATACGTTCTAAAATCGAAATGCAAAACGAATCGTGGTTAGAAATTATTTACTGTCACGTTTCATATTAATACATGTACCTAAGTACAGAATAGTTGGTATGTTATCCAAAATCAAAAAATTCCTAAAAGTATCTTATAAACGAATATTAAATTTGTTTAAAACATTTCAACATAATATTAAATGTTACCTAACCAATTAAACGTTCCTATTTAAAATTTAAATTATCTTATAACTTTATGGTTAGAAAAACACTGTTCTGTGAAATAAAGATACTAACCGGTCCGTCAGGGTCGAGACCCTTGGAATTTTTCCGGTTTATTAACGTTATCAAAAAATTTCAATTGTCCTCCCTCCATAAAAAAAGAGGCCTGTGCCCAACCGCCCAATAGTATGTATTATGT